GACCACATGTTTTTTAACCCTTTGACTGTTTCAGGCCCCTCTCTGAAACTGTTATTCTATGTCGCTCAATTTTTGAAAAAAAAAAAAAATTTCTTATGAAATGATAGAGAATCTTTTCCCGATGGTAATGATACCAAAAGTTCGAAATTTGGTCGAAAACTCATGGAATTATGCTCCCGCGAATTTAGCGGTCTCGGCGACATATGCGTATTGGCGATTTCGCCGACTTTGAGCCCTATTTTCAGCCAATTCCATTGTTCCAGTTGACCAAACTCATAGCTATTTCTTTAGAACTCCATTTTATCTATCAGCTGAGTACAAGAAACCTCCCATTTACTAATTTGGACTACCCAATATGGTGGTCAGAAATTGGCAATTTGGCCAATTTCACGCAAGCTAAAAAGATGCCAATTTCAAAATAGGGTCCAGAATAAACAAGGTAGACATTCGTGGCACTAAAATAACATATGCTCTGTTCATTAGTCACATCTCTAGGCCCCTCTTACATTATTATTGCTTTCTATTTTGATTTTTTATTCATACAAAAAATACAAAATTTACTGTTATGCAGACTACTGCATTATTGTAAAAATGGTATAAATAATATCAGTGCACTAGTGAAAGAATATTAGACTCCCCAGTTGACGTGTATTGGACGTGTGGTGTGATTTATTTACTCCTGAACATTGGCAAAAATCGAACATTTCCGCTACTTTGAGCTCAGTTTCAAGATCGTTTTCATCGTCAAAGTAATGGAAATCATCTCTATTTCTGTAATATGTTTCCCATTTTATCACCTAAGACCATGAAAACGCGAATACAACGATAAATACTATACGAAAATACACCTCAAAGTCGGCGTTTTATACCAAAAAAACGATCAGAGTTTTTTTTTTCTCATGCAATGTGTGCTGCAGGATTTTTTTTATGTGGTGCACACTGACCACACACCCATTCTCTCACATGTGGGCCTACCAGCTTTCTCCCGCTTGATTTGAAGCCGCTAGAATTATTGAGTATATACAGGAGGGCCCCACTTATATGGCGGGTTAGGTTCCAGGCTACCGCCGTAAAGCAGAAACCGCCGTAAAGTGAAACACCCTTTTTTTCCACTTACAAATGCATACAAACACTAGATAACAAGTTTACACTAACATATATTGTTAGCAATAGAACCAGGCATCAAAAAACAATAAAAAAGTACAATACACACACAGTGCACTCATTACTTACCTTAAAATATTTATAGTCTTAATCTAGGGTGAGACAAGTAGTATTTATTGTAAGAAATCAAGTGTGGTATGTATGGTAGTCAGCCAGGCTACCATACCAGGCCACCCCACCCACACATACTATTCTATGATATTTAAGCATCCCAGAGCGATAAAATGTATATACAGTTCACTCATTACTTACCTTAAAATATAGGGTGAGATGAGTAGTATTTATTGTAAAAAATCAAGTGTGGTATGTATGGTAGTCAGCCAGGCTACCATACCAGGCCAACCCACCCATACATACTATTCTATGATATTTAAGCATCCCAGAGCGATAAAATGTATATACAGTTAACTCATTACTTACCTTAAAATATAGGGTGAGATGAGTAGTATTTATTGAAAAAAATCAAGTGTGGTATGTATGGTAGTCAGCCAGGCTACCATACCAGAGAGAAAGAATGAGTGCATGAGAGAGTACAGGCGCAGAGTTATGTAAACAAACCAGGCGAAGGTAAGTTTTGTAAACAGTGTACACGTCTGGTTTGTGTACAAGTTACATTGTGTACAGGTTGTCTCTACTTTGATACGGTAGAATAAATAAAGAAGAACACTCCCATTCTCATGTAACATCATTTTGAGAAGAAATGATGCTCTGAGTGAAGGCAATGGAAGTAAGTCACTCTGACTTTTTTGGGTTATCCTAGGTTCTCTACACATATGTTGTTATGTATTTGTTATGTATCGTGTTTATTATATAATTTTGAAAAAAATATCACGGATGGATTAATGAAAATGTGTATATTAACGTAATATACAACATTTAATGATATACCGAGCTCAGACAGCGTAAACAAACAAACTGAACAGGTTGTGGACGATCACTCGGTCAGGCGAAATAGACGGTATTAATACGTGTCCAGTTTTAGTTCATTCATGTACATTTGTAAGAGTTTGTGAAACTTTTACCTTATAATATTTTTATTATTATTATAATAATTAAATCACGAAACAAATACTCTTACACTGTGTACAAGTTAGTACAGAATTATAGCTATAAAGTGAAGGCATACGAAAGGAATATTTTTCTACAGTTATCCCTAGTAACAGGTGACGGGCTAGAGAAAACGTAATTCTTCCGACACTTCTACAAACCGTTTGGTAAACATCTCATATATTTTGCATAAATTTTTATACTGTGGGTGCATGTATCATGTTTGTGTGTTACATAATGTGTTTCTTATATAATTTTGAAAAAAATATCATAGATAGATTAAGGGAAATGTCTATATTAACGTAATATGCGACATTAATGCGCCCAAGAGATTATTATTATTATTATTATTATTATTATTATTATTATTATTGCATCAAGAGTAGAGAGACTCTTAGTGATTTTAATGTGTACCTACATGCCAGCACAGTGTGTAAGTTTATTTAGGTACAGGTGTACACAAGTTTAATTATCAAGTACAATACATATAAAATATACAATAACTTTAAAACACTTGAAATTTTGGAAAGTTTCCAGACATAATAAGGAGATGTGCTCAGGGAGAATGTAAACAAACTCGGTGGGCCGCTGTGACCGTATTAGAAAGACAGGTGGGGGGAGCCGTATAACGAGTTTTGGTCATAATTTGAAATGTCCATATTAGCGGAACGCCATAAAGCGAAATGCCGTAAAGCGGGGCCCTGCTGTATACGTCAGAAACATTGGCTCGTAAGACGTATTTATACGTCGAAAACAGTCAAAGGGTTAATATAATAAGAAATAATAATACATGTATTGATAATTGTAAGTAGCTAGCAACTAGGAAGGTACTACCATCCTGCCAAATAAGTGTGAATGGGAACCTGTAATTGCTGTACATGGTGTCAGGATTGTTGGTGTCTTTTCTTTCTGTCTCATAAACATTAAGATGACAGGTATATCTTGTTATTACTTCTTGCATCTAGTTCATACTACACACATAGGTGTATACCTACACTCATTTGGGTTGTCTTTTAATCTTTTATTAGTTCTTGTTCTTCAAGTGTTTCCATCTTTATGGGAAAGTGGGTGAGAGTTCTTTCTCTATAAGCCATGCACATTGTAAAAGGCAACTGAAATGATGGGAGCAATTGGCAAGTAATGCTTTCTCATATATAAATTACTAAAACAACAAAGGAAAAAACTTAAATGTGGGATGTTTGAATTTGTTTGGGTGTGTATGGATGTGAAGAAGAATTGACTATTATGAATGAAAAATAAGCTGGATGTAGCTCTCAGCAAAATGATGCTAAAGAGGGTACAAGAATTTCAGTGGGAGGGGCAATTGGGATTAAGTCAGATTTTTTTGTTCAACACGCTGGCCATCTCCCACCAAGGCAGGGTGACCCAAAAAAAAGAAAGAAACACTCATCATCATTCAACACTTTCACCATCATTCACACATAATCACTGTCTTTGCAGAAGTGCCCAGACATGACAGTTCAGATGTCACTTCAAACACCTAATATCTCAAACCCCTTCTTTAACCTTTAAATGATCCAAATGTATGTATACGTTCTCTTGTGTAGCGCCCCAAACGTATGTACACATTTCCTTTGTCATTTAATCAACATTGCTACGATAAGCCTGAGTTGCCTAGACAGGAGAGAATGGGTGTGCACACTCACTGTGCGCCATATGAAAAAAATCGGGGATGGCTGGGTACCACATGCTCTATTTTCCCATTAAAAAAAAAAAAAAAATTCTCTCAAAAAATTTGAGGCGCTACACGAGAGAACGTATATATACGTTTGGACTGTTGAAGGGTTAAAGTGCAGGCATTGTACTTCCCACCTCCAGGACTCAAGTCTGGCTAACTAGTTTCCCTGAATCCCTTCATAAAATATTACCCTGCTCACACTCCAACAGCTCATCAGGTCCCCAAAACCATTTGTCTCTATTCACTCCTATCTAACATGCTCACACATGCCTGTTGCATGTTCAGGGCCCTTGCACACAAAACCTCTTTTACCCACTTCCTCCATGATGTATTTGATAGAATTAGAGCTAAGGAAGGAGTAGTGGTAATATTAAATGATCAGTTATGAAAAGAAAAAGAGGGAATATAAGTATACAAATTCAAGAATTATGTGAATTAAAATAAAGGTGGGATGTGAGATATGGTGAAGAGAGGACTATAGAGGAGAGAGATTTTAGATGTTACGTAAGCATTTAAGTACACTTTCGAACCAAGTAAGACAATGATTGCTGTAGGAGACCAAAAATCCTAAAGTGGGAGACTGTTGTAGAGGGTGTAGTAGGTAAATTTGAAGTACCAGGTGCAAATGGTAATTGGGGGCCTCTAATTGAACGATGCATAGAAAGAGATTTGGTAATAGGTATTATGTATTTTAAGAAAAAGAGGATAAATAACCATAAGAGATACAATATAGGGCATGATGATAGCAGTTTACTGGACTATGTATCAGTATATAAAAGGTTGGTGGGTAAATTTCTGGATGGGCATCTGTTTTAGACGTGCAACAGATATATCAGATCATTGCTTAGCAGAAGCTATAGTGAAAGTAAGAGATAGATGGGGTACGAGGCAAATGTCATCAGTAGGTAAGAGACATGAAAGTTTATTAATTAAAGTTGGGATATTGTGATGTGATGTTGGCACCCTTCTGGCAAGATAATGTTTTCCCAAAAAGTTGCCTCTGCAGTTCTGCAACAACTGAACACTGAAGTTTAACTATTATGTTGTAAGTTCCCATGTCATTTTGCTAAAATTGTTATTTCCATTCAAGGTTTACAACATTCAACAATAGGTGGATCACATCCATATGGATTAGGCCTGTCAGAAATACTTCTACCCAAATATATGACATCTTTGGGATATACTAATCACCACGTTGGGAAATGGCACCTGGGTTTCTTCAAGAAGGTTTACACTCCTACATACAGGGGTTTTGACACTCATTTTGGATATTGGAGTGGTCGAATAGACTATTATGATCACACAGCTTTGGAGCAAGTAGGTTAAGCATGTTTTACTCATATTAGACCTTTTTTGTGCATGTTAGTGAATAAAATGCATGAAAAATTATATGATATTTAATGCCAATCATGAAATGCAAGTTTTCTGATGTACCAGGTTTGTGTTGGTGGATCCCTCAAGAAAGGTTTCTTGATGTCAGTAAACAGTTCTTGATTCAAGGAACTAGACCTGACCTCTCTTTCCATAGATTGAAATTGATTTCCTCCCATTCCCCCAGGTGCTGTATAACCCCCCCCCCTACAGCTTTTGCACAACCCTACCCCCTCACCCATGAATGTAATAATGTATGGGTGAGCAAGGCCAACAATAAAAATAAATTAACCTATTTGCAGTAGGTAGTAGGTTGGTAGACAGCAACCACCCAGGGAGGTACTACCGTCCTGCCAAGTGAGTGTAAAACGAAAGCCTGTGATTGTTTTACATGATGGTAGGATTGCTGATGTCTTTTGTCTGTCTCATAAATATGCAAGATTACAGGCATGTCTTGCTACTTCTACTTACACTTAGGTCACACTATACATACATGTACACATTTATTTATACACACTCATCTGAGTTTTCTTTGATTTTATCTTAATAGTTCTTGGTCTTATTAATTTTCCTTTTATATCCATGGGGAAGTGGAATAAGAATCTTTCCTCCGTAAGCCATGCGTGTTGTAAAAGTCAACTAAAATGCCGGGAACAATGGGCTAGTAACCCCTTTTCCTGTAAAAATTACTAAAAAGAATAATAAGAAGAAAATTGTCAAAGTGGGAAGTCTGAATGTGCATGGATGTTGTGCAGATGATAAGAAAGAGAGATTGTGGATGTTTGAATGAGAAGAAGCTGGATGTCCTGCCTTTAAGTGGGAAACAAAGCTGAAGGGGGGGGGAGAGTTTCAGTGGAGAGGAATAAATGGGATTAGGTCAGGGGTTTCAAATAGAGTTAGGCTAAAGAAGGAGTAGCAATAATGTTTAAGGATAAGCTATGGCAGGAAAAGAGGGACTATAAATGTATTAAAATTTAAGGTTTTTGTGGAGTTAAAAAAAAGATTGGATGTGAAAAGTGGGTTATAATAAGCGTGTATGCACCTGGAGAAGAGAGAAGTGTAGAGGAGAGAGGGGAGATTTTGGGAAATGTTGAGTGAATGCATGGGGGAGTTTTTTAATCAAGTGTGAGAGTAATGGTGGTTGGGGATTTCAATGCTAAAGGGGTAAAAATGTTATGGAGGGAGTAGTAGGTAAATTTGGGGTGCCAGGGGTAAATGTAAATGGGGAGCCTTTAATTGAGCTATGTGTAGAAAGAAATTTGGTAATAAGTAATTACATATTTTATGAAAAAGAGGATAAATAAAATATACAAGGTATGATGTAGCACGTAATGAAAGTAGTTTTTTAGATTATGTATTGGTGGATAAAGGTTGATGGGTTAGGCTCCAGGATGTACATGTTTATAGAGGGGCAACTGATATATCGGAAACATTATTTGTTGTAGCTACAGTTAGAGTAAGAGGTAGATGGGAAAAGAGGAAGGTGGCAACAACAAGTAAGAGGGAGGTGAAAGTGTATAAACTAAGGGAGGAGGAAGTTCGGGTGAGATTATAAGCGACTATTGGCGAAAGGTGGGCTAGTGCAAAGATGAGTAGTGGGGGGGGGTTTGAAGAGGGTTGGAATAGTTTTAAAAATGCAGTATTAGAAAGTGGGGCAGAAGTTTGTGGTTATAGGGGGTGGGGACAGGGGGGAAAGAGGAGTGATTGGGGAATGATGAAGTAAAGGGTGTGATAAAAGAGAAAAAGGTTTGCTTATGAGAGGTTTTTACAAAGCAGAGTGTTAAAAAGAAGAGCAGAGTATATGGAGAGTAAAAGAAAGGTAAAGAGAGTGGTGAGAGAGTGCAAAAGGAGAGCAGATGATAGAGTGGGGAGAGGCCCCTGTCAAGAAATTTTAATGAAATAAGAAAAAATTTTGGAGTTAGTTTAAACAAGTTAAGAAAGCCTAGGGAAAATATGGATTTGTCAGTTAAAAACAGAGTAGGGGAGTTAGTAGATGGGGAGATGGAGGTATTGGGTAGATGGCGAGAATATTTTGAGGAACTTTTAAATGTTAAGGAAGAAAACAGAGGCATAATTTCATGCACTGGTCAGGGAGGTTTTACCCCTCTTTTTTGGAGTGAAGAAGAGCAGAATGTAAGTGTTGGGGAGGTACGTGAGGCATTACGTAAAATGAAAGGGGGTTTTAAAACAGCTGGAACTGATGGGATCATGACAGAAATGTTAAAAACAGGGGGGGGTATATAGTGTTGGAGTGGTTTGGGACTTGTGTTTTTTTAAATGTAAAGAAAGAGGGGAAGGTACCTAGGGATTGGCAGAGAGCATGTATAGTCCCTTTATTAAAGGGAAAAGGGGGCAAAAGAGACTGTAAAAATTATAGAGGAATAAGCTTACTGGTATACCAGGAAAAGTGTACGGTAGGGTTTTAATTGAAAGAATTAGAGGTAAGACAGAATGTAGGATTGCGGATGAGCGAGGAGGTTTCAGAGTGGGTAGGGGATGTGTAGATCAAGTGTTTACATTGAAGCATATATGGAACAGTATTTAGATAAAGGTAGGGAAGTTTTTTTTGCATTTATGGATTTAGAAAAGGCATATGATAGAGTGGTAGAGGAGCAATGTGGCAGATGTTGCAAGTATATGGAATAGGTGGTAAGTTATTAAATGCTGTAAGAGTTTTTATGAGGATAGTGAGGCTCAGGTTAGGGTGTGTAGAAGAGAGGGAGACTACTTCCCGGTAAAAGTAGGTCTTAGACAGGGATGTGTAAATGTCACCATGGTTGTTTAATATATTTATAGATGGGGTTGAAAAGGAAAAGTAAATGCTAGGGTGTTCGGGAGAGGGGGTGGGATTAAATTTTGGGGAAATCAAATTCAAAATGGGAATTGACACAGTTACTTTTTGCTGATTGATATGTGCTTATGGGAGATTCTAAAGAAAAATTGAAAGGTTAGTGGATGAGTTTGGGAATGTGTGTAAAGGTAGAAAGTTAAAAGTGAACATAGAAAAGAGTAAGGTGATGAGGGTGTCAAATGATGTAGATAAGAAAAATTGGATATAAAATTTGGGGGAGGAGGAGTATGGAAGAAGTGAATGTTTTCAGTTTACTTGGGGGTTAAAGGGTGTCGGCGGATGGATTTATAAAGGATGAGGTTAATCATAGAATTGATGAGGGAAAAAAGGTGAGTGGTGTGTTGAGGTATATGTGGAGTCAAAAAACGTTATCTATGGAGGCAAAGAAGGGAATGTATGAAAGTATACTAGTACCAACACTCTTATATGGGTGTGTAGCTTGGGTGGTAAATGCAGCAGCGAGGAGATGGTTGGAGGCAGTGGAGATGTCCTGTTTAAGGGCAATGTGTGGTGTAAATATTATGCAGAAAAAATTGGAGTGTGGAAAATTTGGAGAAGGTGTGGAGTTAATAAAAGTATTGTCAGAGGGCAGAAGAGGGGTTGTTGAGGGTGGTTTGGTCATTTAGAGAGAATGGAACAAAGTTTGAATGACATGGAAAGCATATAAATCTATAGGGGAAGGAAGGGCGGGGTAGGGGTGTCCCCGAAAGGGTTGGAGAGGGGGGTAAAGGAGGTTTTCTGGGCAAGGGCTTGGACTTCCAGCAAGCGTGTGTGAGCGTGTTAGTTTGGAGTGAATGGAGACGAATGGTACTTGGGACCTGACGATCTGTTGGAGTTTGAGCAGGGTAATATTTAGTGAAGGGATTCAGGGAAACCGGTTATTTTCATATAGTCAGACTTGAGGTCCTGGAAATGGGAAGTACAATGCCTGCACTTTAAAGGAGGGGTTTGGGATATTGGCAGTTTGGAGGGATTGTTGTGTATCTTTATATGTGTATGCTCTAGACTGTTGTATTCTGAGCACCTCTGCAAAAACAGTGATAATGTGCGAGTGTGGTGAAAGTGTTGAATGATGATGAAAAGTATTTTCTTTTTGGGGATTTTCTTTCTTTTTTGGGTCACCCTGCCTCGGTGGGAGACGGCCGACTTGTTGAAAAAAAAAAAAAAATGCAGTACACAGCCTTTTTTTTTTTTTTTTTTTTTTTTTTTTTTTTTTTTTTTTTTTAACAAGTCGGCCATCTCCCACTGAGGCAGGGTGACCCAAAAAAGAAAGAACATCTCCAAAAAGAAAATACAGTGGACTTTTTAATTGCTGTTAATTGCTCATAATTTTGTGTTGCAAGTCAAATCTTACTCCAAATTAATGTTATTCATGGTTGCTACCTGTCCATTTAATTTTGTTTTCCACTACTTTTTTTAGTCCCTTTTATATTGTGTGCAATTAGTGTATATTCCAATTATGTTATTGTGTGAGTCCCAAAACTATCTTTTGCTAGCTAGTACCAACTGCCTCATATTTTTTTTACTTTTTATAGTGCAATTAATTGCTCAACTTATACATTACAAATCAGATCTTACTCCCAAATCAATATTATATCATAGTGACTATCTGTCCATTGAACTTTGTTTACCATTACTTAATTTAGTTCCTTATATATTTTCTCCTTTTTTTTACTTTATATAACTCCCTTATTCTATATTCGAATTGTTAACCCTTCAGGGTCCAAGGCCCAAATCTGAAGTGGTAGAAAATCTTTTTGTGAAGGTAATAAAACAAAAAGTACGAAATTTGATGGAAAATTGACGAAATTATGCTCTCGCGAATTTTGATGTGCAGCGAATTTAGAATCGGCGATTTGCCGGCTTTGACTCCTTTTTAGGCCAATTACATTATTCCAGTAAACAAATTTCTTAGCTATTCACTAGTTTTACTTCAATTCTTCGATTGAGCAAAGAAATCCCCAAGTCAATGTTTCAACACAAATTAAAAGTGATGGGAAATTTTTTTAATTTTGCCCAATTTAACAAAAATTCAAAATTTCCTTTTCAAAATAGGTCCAGAATAAAAAATGTAGGTATTCCCGGGAAACTAAAC